TGTGTGTGTGTGTGTGTGTGTGTGTGTGTGTGTGTGTGTGTGTGTGTGTGTGTGTGTGTGTGTGTGTGTGTGTGTGTGTGTGTGTGTGTGTGTGTGTGCGCGTGTGTGCTATCTTGGCTATGTCGAACCGCACCATAGTAGAATATTACAGTCGTTGGTAATGCATTTAACTTTCTGTGATTGGGCTTTTTCCTTTTATTTAGACACCTAGCATTGTCGAAAGCTGACCTTGGAATTGCGCTCTGATGTAGTCATACGTGAAGAGCCCAATTTCGTCTTAACTTGCGGTTTTCAGTAACATGCCCTTCATTTTCCTAATGATACTTTTAGCTGTAGTCTTATGAGTTAGCATATTTGTTTCATTAGGCTTATTCACTTTCAGAAATAAAAGCGTCGCTCTCTAGCAGCCAACATCTACCCCGACATGTGGTCGTATGCCGCCATCCCATGGTGGTCGTATGCCGCCATCCCATGGTGGTCGTATGCCGCCTATCCCATGGTGGTCGCATGCCGCCATCCCATGGTGGTCGTATGCCGCCATCCCATGGTGGTCGTATGCCGCCATCCCATGGTGGTCGTATACCGCCATCCCATGGTGGTTGTATGCCGCCATCCCATGGTGACCTTTACCTGGCATTTGCCATCATATTCATCATACCCGACTATTCGTCCAATTTCAGCAGAATCCGTTATTACTCCTGTCTCATTTGCATGTGACTTTTCTAAAGAAAAGGCATCGTAAGTCACTACCCTGTATGGACCATGAAACGCAGCTGGCCTGGCAACTGGCTGACCTGGGTCAAATGACAAGAGTATTCGGTGTGGGTTGAACAAAGTAGCTACGAAACCGTTCAGTAACTGGCAGGCTGCGAAGTTATTGCCGGTTTATGGGTGGCCTGTCTGCATGCAGATTGGAAGGGCAGCGTCGAACGACATAACGTGCCCTCGTCTTCGGTCCTAAATTGAGTAATATCTCGAGAAACTGTTTAGACTGACTGTTAAGACTGTTAAGAGTTGCACAGGTTACCTAACAACGTTGTGCTGGTCTCTGTCTCTCTTCTGTCCCGAGATAGTAGGTGGAGTGGTACCCGCTACCTTCCAGTCAGTTCCATATTTACCCCGAGTCGCGTCCATGCGACGGCCAATCCACGAAGCACGAGTCAAATCAAAGCGCTCTAACGTAGCTCAATTCCTTCAGGAGTATAGGACGTAGGTACGCAAAGACGGCTTTACAATTACTTGAACTCATCTGAGAAGAATGAAGGGCGTCCTTTTTTATGTCAGGATGCATTCCGCGCTCTGTGGCTGGGCGCCACTCAAACGTCCCTTTCGGTCCCTTGGAGTGGAGTGGAGCACGGAGTGGAGCATACATCTGGTGTGTAGAGCCTGTGACTGACGTCTTGTTTGCATTCCTGTCGACCCTTCATAGCCGCGGGGCAATTAACGCCGCTCAGAGGGGAGCAGACTGGCCGCCAACCAGACGCGCCGCTTGCTCGCGGATCCCGCGCTTACTAGCACTGGTCTGGCCCGGTCTGGGCTGTGGTGCTCTGTGGTGTGGTCTGGTCTGGGCTGTGTGCTCTGTGGTGTGGTCCGGACTGGGCTGTTGTCTGTCACGGAGGCTGTTCGCGTCGCTTCCGTGGCATACCAATGACCTAAAGAGACGGATCGATTCTTTTTTGTGATATGCTCGTGATTGGAGCGCGTGGCTGTACTGGCCGCAGACTCCTATACCGGATGTAGTGATGGAGACAGCGTCATAATGTCGAGTGATGGTTCGAGTTCAGGAATCGGCAATAGAAGTACGGTACACCGACGCTGGCAGCACCTATTCAAGAAGTAGGAGCTTAGAGGCTTCCTTGACGGCTGAAGAACTTCGTCTCCTCTCCAACCTTTATATCTTTTCCGCATGGAATGTTGTGTGTGATGCTACTGCAGCCGGAATAAGCTTTTGCCGAGCAGTTAATCATCCCGCTGTCTACACTTTCCAACCAGTTTTTCTTCGTGCGTGTTTTTACTTTCCATTTTTGTGATTGTAATCATCATGCCCTTTTGCAGGTTTTTGATGCTCGATTTTTGCAGTAAATGGCTGGGGTGTGCTTTTTATCTACGCTTGACCTGCCACCATTTGCGGATGTTAGCCAGCTTGTGATTTTGGCTTTCACTTTTAGCACCCGCTTTTGGCGATTGCCAACAATCATTTGCTTTTTAACATGTTCAGCATTTGGCTGCTTGTGGTTGATGATCAACCCGTGTTCTTTTGCAGACATCCCTCATTTCCAGTGGTGAAACCGATTTATTATCAGATTCGCGTCGTGGCTGACTCAAGGTACACACTTGATGCATGTGCTAGCTGGTGGTGGCCGGACCTGTCTTGTCGTCGATGCACGCACAGGTTTTAGCGCTGCACTGTCTGTTCCGAGTAAAGGTGCAAGGCTTAGAACATCTGCAGGATGTGAGTAAATTTAGCTGAAAGCGTAGATTGAGTGTCACACGAGTGTTATTCTACGGAGCCAGTGTCACACTTCACTCGACGCGCGTTTGACTGATATGAAGCAAGGCTCGTTGCACTCGAAGTGGATGTGTTTTAGGTGGACGAAAGCTTAATTACAAGCATGTGAGCCACAGATGTGATAAAATGTCAATGGGATGGAGTGCTGGTAGCTGTAGAAAGTAGCTTGGATGTTAGGGAGATCTTGAACAAAATATCAATGCTTTTTAACCCAGACGCATTAAACAAACGCCAATGTAACATTAACACGCAGCTTGCGTAAGATCTGCCCGCAGTGTCTTTAACAGCCCTCTGGTGAGCTTCCAAACCTAGCTGCGGGCAAAGCACGCGCGGCCATCGCTCATGCGGCTCCCCCGGCTCTGACCTGGAACGGCTCGGGTGGAGCCGCCCCTGGCCTTTCGTCCGCGGTCGCCCTGCCGTCGCGGTGCGGCCGAGCGACGCAGAGCGCTCGTGGCGCGGCGACTCCGGCCTCGCTGCTGGGCTGACATTGTCTGAAGCGTGCAGAGACGGCATGGGAGTCAGGTGGCCGTTACTGTTAGAGCAGAGACGGCGCCGGGGCTCGAGTGACGCTGTGGTGCTTCTGATGGAGGGCGCAGAGGTGGCGCAGTAATATTAGACGATCCCCACGGACGTGGTGCTGCGCTTGATGGACCGTGCTGAATGACCCGCTCGTGGGTTACTCGGCATGCTGAGTAACCCGCTCGTGGGTTACTCTGCGTGCTGAGTAACCCGCTCGTGGGTTACTAGGCATGCTGAGTAACCCGCTCGTGGGTTACTAGGCATGCTGAGTGACCCTCTCGCTCTTGCGGTGTTTCATTCATGAAGCAATTCGGGGACAACGCTGGTCAGCAGGTCGTCCTGGGGGTTACTTGACCTGACCTGACCTGACCTGAGACAGTGACCGGAAGGGGTGGTCCTGGGCTCCCGCCGCTGGGGAAAAGCTTCATGATGTCAGCTGGTAACTGCAACCACTTGCCACTACAAGGGTCAGCTCTGAAAGAGCAAGAAGTGACTCGCATACCAATGACACAATTTCACAGCCAAGAGTATAAAAGTTAGCTGATTGTCGCAGAAATCAAGGAGGTTAGCAACATATCAAGAAGAATGTGAAACTGGGCCAAACACCAGCGCTTAGTAGCTGTATTTAATCGAATTAATCGTGAAGTGTTCGTTACTTAATCATACATATTGCCACCTTCCTCTGCCGATGAAATTCGGCATCAGGATAAGAGTCTTTGGCGTGGAGGCACATAGCAACAAACGGCATCGTGCATCGACAGGCTGTTTGATGAAATGACCTTGGGACTTTGTCGTTCACGAACAAACCGAAGCAAAAACAAAATGAAATATTGATGTGGCCGGTGTTTAAATGTTGTAGACTGGCCGGGGCACCGTGGTCGCAGAGCAACTGAAAATTGGAAAAGACAATGAGAAGACCAGAGAAGGCCGTCCATTGGAAGGGTACCGTCGCAATTTTCTATGCCATATCACTCATGATGTTTATGTGACCCGCGTGACCACGTGGTGGCCCAGCTCCAATATAAAGCATGCAGGCAGACACTCTAAATGATGGCATTTGATTACCCTACGACGCATGCAGCTACTTTCGCTTCGAAGGCCGTAGTTCACCCAGGCGCCGATCATGGCGGGGCAGCCAGACAGCCACTTGGACCGTAGCGACTCTGGGCGCCTGAGGCTCTCTCTTCCAAGTGGAGGTGCTCGAGGCCGTGAGGAGACTGTCGCCGGGCAGAAAGCCACCAGGAGCGCGGCCGCTCCCGGCCGCCACCTGTTATTGTTACAAGGCGCAGCGCTCTGTTAGATTAGCAATTGATTAGCCGACGGCGGAAAAAGGTGACTCGATCAGTGCGGCAATCTATTTCCCGTGCTCTAAGTGACGGCGAATTTGGCCAGATGGGCCACCAGGCCCGAGCACGCCGCCCGCTCAGCTGGGCTGGGGCAGGCGCGCCGCCCCCTCGGAAAGGAAGCCTCCCGGTATGCCGAGATCGCAAACGAGCATCGCTTACCACATTCAAAGTCTGCTTGGTCCTCTTCTTGAAATGGCTGAACTTTGAGGTTTTACTGCCGAGCGGTCGAGGCTAACGGGGACTGACCACCCCTTCATCACTCGCTTCGTTTCCCAGGTGTGCCAGAATCAGGATTGATTAGCACCTGGGAAAACGTTGCGCTGAGCTGTAATCCTCCCAGCACCATACTTTAAAACATAAACTCAGTTCTCAACGGACGTTAGCTCATGCGACGATACCTTCAAAGGTCTCGTGCAAAGTCCTGCCATTTTCAGAAATATCCATGAGTAAAGCGTTGACGGAAACTGAGGAGAAAACACACTTCAAACAATTTCGTGTTGCGCACTTGACAAAAGGCACGTCCCACCGCCGACCGTGCACGTGGCCCTGATGATGCGACATCTGGAGTCGAAAACCCCCGCTTCTATTTGTGTTCAGCACTCTGCCACGGCCGGCCTCTCCGACAGGTCCATATCGTCCTACTACCGGACCAACGAACAGGAGAAGGACTACATCTGCTCGCTGGGGAAGGACAACGGTTTACACACCTGCGACAATCTGCCTCCCACCAAGATCGAAGGTGGGAGCACCGTTCGCTGCCCGGAGGTGCTCAGTGATTGGCGCGCTGGCCTCATGATTGAGAGGTCCTAAATGGGTTCGTGACCTTTGCCCCCTCCCTTTCGTTACCTATTCCCCCTGGCTCTGCGCCTCTGTGGCTCACGTCTATCTGACTGTTTATCGCTGTCTCCATTTCTCACCCCCTCACTCGCTCGCCCTCTGTCTCTCTCCCTCACTCTTTCCCTCCCTTACTTCCCTCCCTTCCTCCCACCATCCCTCTCTTCCTTTAAGCTCCGTCCCTCTCACCTTCTCCCTCTAATTTTCTCCCTCGCTTTCCTTCTTTTGCTCTTGCTCTCTTGTTCGGAGAGAGATGGAAGCCTGCATGCAGCAGGTGAATCAAGCATGTGGCTCTCTTTAGACTCTCAGGCATGTCTATGGGGTGTTTACGCAAGTGGACTGACTGCAATCCAACAGGGGAGTTCCCAGCAATACAATAGCAGTAAGCTGGCAAATTGGCAGCGAGGTTACTGGCTGACGATCTATGAAAGGCTCACACTGGTTTGAGTTGTCACGTGATCAGAGTGCCACTGATTCTATACAACGTACAAATATATATATATATATATATATATATATATATATATATATATATATATATATATATGACGTGAGGAGCGTTCGCTTCTGCCCCGCCTTAGTCAGGGCGGGTAGTGGCATTGGGCAACCGAGTTTGCATTCCAACCAGCCGCATTGGAGTCCGTCTGTATCTGCCAAGCCCGTCTGATGGTATTCTGTTCGGGAACTTTTCAAGCGTGTAAATGCTATTTTCCATGTAGTCTTACAGCAGCTGTCATGTGTGCCATTTCTGGCGCGTTGTTAACCGCTTACGGGCAACACTGAACACCTAACTTGTACTCCGGTCCCAGCTTTAAGGAGCTTAGTGGGCGGTCTGGTTCGCTTCAAGCACGGTGCCGAAACTGCACAGAAGCATTAGCGTGAAAACTGGTGCGAATCGCCAGAAGGTTTGAGACCTCTCCAAATGAGGTAGACGCAACATCTAAGGAACAGATCTGTTGTGCCGGCGATGTAACAGGAACACGAGTGTTGGCACTCGAGGCTTTAATCAGGAACGCAGTGTGTTCTTTCTTTAGAACAAACCAGGACCGAAACCAAAGAGCATAAACAGCTAAGCACAACAAAGGCGTGCGTTCACCCACACGCCTCATATATATATATATATATATATATATATATATATATATATATATATATATATATATCAAATAAACGCAAGGCAAGGTCTAACTAGAAAATCGGTCGCGCCACTCTCCGGTTCATTAATCCTGCACCACGATTCTCCCGCACGTTCCCCGCACGATTCTCCCGCACGTTCCCCGCACGATTCTCTCTGCATGGGGCGCCGCCTCATGGGGCTGGGCCAGGCGGAGCTCCGACAGAGGCGCGCTTAGGCCGCTTGTGGCGCACCGGCTGCCTCAGCGAACGTAGCGCTCCTGTTAGGCACGAAACACGCTTTATGACCTCCATAAAGCCCCAGCAATTGTCCAATGACAGGGATCTGTCAAAGTTATTGCAATCGACGCGGGTCTTTATTGGCGAAGAACGGCGGGGCTAATGGTGGAGGTGTCCGTGACCGGGCGCGCTTCGGCACCTCGGCGCTGCTGCTCACATCCGGCCGCTGATGAGTGCACCGCTGAATGTGGTCTCGCGACGCAGCAAAGCCATTTGTTTACCTGCTCGTAGAACGTCTGAGTGCTTTAGAAGGCTGGTGAGTGCGTGGAGGTGTCCGAAAATAGCATTTTTAGCCAAGCCATCGACTGACAATGCTTGTTCAACATAGTACATAACGACTCTAACATGCGCTAGGCAGACGTGTAATCTACAACTATTGACCGCGTTCAGTCGTTTTTGACATATTTCAACCTTGATCTGCCAATTCACAACAAAGCTTTGTTTGCGTACCCTACGACCGAGACACTTTCGAAAAACTCGAGGGACTGCACCACCTTTCGCAGTGGTGAAGGCTGCTGACACCCCAACCAATGTCAGGCACGAATATTGCATTCAGTCTGCGCTGGGTCATGTCTAAGGGCCGCTCATCTTGGCTTCAACGGGTGTTATGTCAGCCACATCTGATCATTAATACTGGAACATCTCGGAGCGCATGATAATGAAATACTGATGTCATGGCGTGCTCTGTGTTCCCAGGCAAGAAGTGTGGAATGCTACGGCGTGCTCGGTGTTCCCAGGCAAGAAGTGTGGGATGCTATAGCGTGCTCTGTGTTCCCAGGCAAGAGGTTTGAGATGTTATCGCGTGCTGTGTGCTCCCCAGGCAGGGAGTGTGGAACGCCAGCGCGACAGCACAACCCTAACGTGCCCACGAACGGGTCGTGTGTCAACTGGAACCAGTACTACACCGAGTGTCGAGCCGGCGACAAGAACCCCTTTCAGGGGGCCATGTCCTTCGACAACATCGGCCTCGCGTGGGTGGCCATATTCTTGGTGAGTCAGATCCCCGTCTTAGCTCTGAAGCCTTGTGGCAGTAGCGCAAGAGTCATGTACTTGACGGGGCAGCGTACAACACATAAAAGCAGGAGTAATGTGCGACAAGAGGTGTTCGTAAATGCCGAACATGGATTTACTCACTGGGGTGCCTTGAATGCACAACACCTTGTAAACATTGATTTGTCCTTGTTAACGACATGATTTGTCCTTACCTATTGTATAAGACGATTCCTACCGGGTCTGCATCACCTCTTTGCCAGCCTCTTCATTTGTTTGTTTTTTCGTAGCTTGGAGTGCTGCGACTTAATTTTGTGTTTTCTGGTGTTAGCGCACGGTTTATTGCGTCGCTGTGATAGAGGAAGGGGCATCTATGGTTACCTGTCATTGGGTAACGGCATCGAAAAAAGATCACAGGCTGGCGGCTTTCGGCGGTCAATTTCACCAGATTGTTTTGTCGATCCAGGTAACGGCGTCATTCCATGCCACTGGGGCCAGTACCATACAAATTCTGCAAATTTCTGAGCTATGGCGTCGGTGTCGCTTCTGCACTGTCTGCAGCCGTGCATTATCGGACGCTGCTTGCACTGAAGCACTGATAATAATCCGCACACAGATAACAATGACGAGAGCAGGTACTCAGCGCCGGCGAAGCAATATGATGCTCCGAAACGGGATTAGAATCTTGTGACTTACATCTAATAGCGAGCGCTGCTTAGCCCTTTTGTTGTGTCCTCCGAAAGCGCATACGTAAAACAAAAGGGTAACAATTTGTTCAAGCGCAGCGGTAATGTTTCACTGCGTGAGACTAAGTTTCAGACGACGAAATCTCTATTGCTTTCAATTAGCGTTATTGTTTATATTTGTATTTTGTTTGTTACTATTGCATATTGTTACTATTGCATTCATATAGCGTTGTTTTTACTGCGTTGCTGTAATTCCTGATTAGACTGTAAAGGTTCGCTGATTGCTCCTGTTCTGAACACCAGTATCTTATTATGAGATTTGTGCTTGCATGCAGAACTAACAAAGGTTTGCTCTTTGTCGATCGTTCTCGTTCTGAGCACCTGAGCTGTTTCATCAATGTTTGTCTTGACACCGTGCCGTCTGCTGGCTGCCACCTTGGCTAATTCTGTAATGCAGTGTATAAGACTCGAAGCTTGCGGAAGGCGTCTAGCAGCCCCTCAGGAAATATTCTCATGGTAACTATCGGTGCATACAACCCGAAGCTAACTGAATGTTCCCCGTTTGCATGTCACCATGCGCAGTGAAGCCAAGCAAAAGTACGATTGACGCAGGGCTGCTGGCATTCCCCGGGAGTGAGCACTGTGTGCCGGAACTAACGAGGATCCGGATGGAGAGGGGGCGGGGCGGGGGGGGGGGGGGGCAGGCGGCTCAAGATGAACTGAACGGCCGAGAAACACGTATTGAGCGTTCCAAAATGGGAACGCTCAGCCTGGACCTTGCTCCTCCGCGTCGGACGGACGGGCTTGGTGGAGAAAATGGCGCTACTTTGCCACGTTAACGGGTGAACTGGACGGGCTAATATGGCCGTTACTCCTGTCTCACGCTGTGGACGACAGCCGGTGAGGCATATCTGTCGATTTTGTGGTCGATGGCAGCCGTTTTTCAATGTTTCGCCGAAGTTGAATGCAGGCCATTCTGTGGGGCTTTCTTAAGTCGCATAAACTGTTGGAGGTCTGAATTATCCCGGTTCATTTTAGTAGGTCCTAGTACGTTCCTGGACGCATGTCACCAGTGATACCCATATTGCTCTGTGCCACATAATGTGTGTTGAAGGGGCCTCCCTGTGCAGTCAGGATAGTAACCGTCTAAGTCTATTGTCCGGCCTTCACTGGCCGTGGTGCGAAGGACGTGGTACGGCCGGTCACGTGGCTACCTCCTCGGGTGCGGCCCGACGGGCTCGAGGTCACGTTCGCACATGGTGAAACCGAACCATTTTGATTGCAGCTCACACCACGCTAGGTCCACGTCATTGTTGAAAATGATCTGCGATGGACTTAAGGAACACACTGCACCCTCACAGGTGCTGGGGGGAAACTGCTGTACTTGAAAGCGACGAATGCGGCTAGCGAAATGCACCTATGGGGAGCATCAAACTTAGAAATTTAACAGCACCTTTTCTCAATGGCCTAGACGGCCTCAAAATGCCAACTGTATGTGAAAAAGAACACCCTTGTGAACGTGAGTCCATGAATGAGAACAACAGACGATACTACTGCATTGCTAGCCTGATTCATTGAGCCACGTTTTGGCACCTCATGCACAACCTGACGTCTAAACCGCCGACTCAACATAACTGGGGCCTGAAATATCATCAAACTTTGGAGCAAATGCGGCAAAGTGTGGTCTAAAGTGGCAGTGAGGCGTAGGCCGTTCGACAGTCATACTGAGAACGTCATGGGGTGGACCGGGTGGCTACCTGACCGTGGGGTGGGGTGGATACCTGACCGTGTGGTCGGTCTGATACCTGGCCGCGGGATGGGGTGGATACCTGGCAGTGGGGTGGGGCTGATGCCTGACCGTGGGGTGGGGTGGATACCTGATCGTGGGGCTGGGTGGACTGAGTGGATCACTGACTGTGGGGCGGGTAGATGCCTGACTGTGGGTCGGGGTGGATATTTTCCCTTGGGGGGGGGGGGGGGGTGAACGCCGGAGCGTAGGGCAGGGGGATACATGACCGTAGGGTGGGGTGGACGCCTGACAGTGGGTGGGGCGGATGCCTGACCCCATCACAGCGAGGGTTAATATGCTTATGTCATATTGGTTTGGAAGTAAACACCTGCTTGTCATGTTCATGGCAGGCGTTTGTGCAAAAGCGTTGTCATGTCATGCGTTGGCACATACCACGGGTATGTGCTATTGCATCGGTTGTTAGATATTGCCTTTGTTATTTTACATTTTGCACTTATGAATTCATGCAAGTGCACTGCATGCAGAAGCTTTCACAATGGCGATAATGATAAGCTTCACTAGTCTGATAATGTCTGCTGAGTTTCTGCTGAGTTTTTCGCTCTTGAGCTTCTGCTTAGGTTGAAAAGGCCTTTGACATTGACGCCAAAATTACTATTTTCATTTGAGTCGTTCTCGATGTAACATGTTTCGTTACGTAACGGAGTAATCCTCTATGCACCTACGTTTCGTTACCTCGTTTGGCTTTCTTCTCATTCATTATCTAGTTTGTATTGTTTGTTTAATCCTATTATGCAGCGATTTAGTCTACATGAACCTCGTCTCTCGTTATTGTGGCTTTCTTGTACCTTGCTAGGTCCGATCTGCCTGCCCTGTTGTTTGCCTCTGAAGTTGCCTCCGCTCCAGGTGATAAGCTTGGAGGGGTGGACGGACATCATGTACTACATTCAGGACGCACACAGCTTTTGGGACTTCATCTACTTTGTCTTGCTCATCGTGGTGAGTTATCCGTCAGGGGCTCGTGCGCCGTCGGAGAGATTAGCTGTGAAGAAGCTTGCTAGTGCAAGGCACGCCCTAGGCAGTTGGACTAGTGAATCGGACGCCAAAAAAAACTGCGTTTCACTTCAGCTGAGCAGCTGTCATTGTGTGCAGGCAAGCGAGTCAATTGCGATGGTTCATCCCGCCCTTTCAATGCATCGTCGTCCCAGCCTTTTGCGACGGTAGTGACATGATCCGCACATTCAGTTCCCGCTCTTTGTTTTGCAAACCGAGGCGGGCCGCCCATCGACCTCATGGCTCCAGGCTGTCAGCACCCTTTGCTATGGTCAAATGCCGCAGCCGAGGGGACGGCTGCTTCGGCGCATTCAGAGTAAAACCCGTCGGTCTACCGTATCATTCGAACCGAGGCCGCACGTCCACGATCACCCTCCGCTTCAGCCCAACCTCGCCTCCGTTTTCAGATCGGGTCGTTCTTCATGATCAACCTCTGCCTGGTCGTCATCGCCACGCAGTTCTCAGAGACGAAGAAGCGGGAAACGGAGCGCATGCGTCTGGAGCGGGCGCGCTTCCAGAGCACATCCACCCTGGGCAGCTCGCTGGAGAACGCCGGCTGCTACGCCGAGATCCTGCGCTACATCGCGCACGTGTGGCGCCGGCTGCGGCGCCGGCTGCGCTGGCGCTGGCGGCGCTGGCGGCGCAAGCCGCCCACGCGCTTCAGTCTGCGCCGGCGCCGGGGCGGCGCGCCCGGCAACAACAACGACTACTGTGATAGTAAGGACGAGTGGGCGCCGCGCGCCAGTCCCGAGGCGTCGGACGTGGACCCGCTGTCAACGCCGCGCCACCCGGAGGCGGCTGCCGAGGCGGCAGCCGAGGCGGAGGTGGACACGCCGCCGCCGGACGGCGACGGGGAGCGGGCGGACATGGGAGACCACCTGCTGCCGCCGAGCATCCTCTGCAGCCGGCTGAGCGCGGACGCCGGCCGGCCACCGGAGCGGCGCGCCAAGAGCGTCAGCTACGACGTCAACAAGCCGGTCATCATCCCCATCCAGCGGCTGGGCGCGGCGGCGGCGGCAGCGGCGGCGGCGGCGGGCGGCAGCGAGGTGGCGCCGCTGCCGGCGCCGTTGCGCGCCGAGCTGGCGCGCGCCGAGTCGCAGCTGCGCCGGCTGCGCAGCTCCGTGTTTCCGCGCGTCAGCCAGTCGGCCGACAGGGGCCCGCTGACCTGTACCGAGCTGCTCGCCATCAGCGGGGCGCTCAGCGCGGCGCTGCCGGCGCAGCTTGGCGCCGAGCCTGGCGCGGAACCGGTCGGCGCGGCGGCGCACTGCCTGCTGGCTGGCCGCGGCGCCGGTCGGCAGCTCTCGGAGCCGGCGCTGCTGCTCGGCTCGCCGCCGACCGGCTCGTCCGGCTCGGCCAGCGAGGCGAGCTGGAGTGGCGCCAGCGAGTCGGACTGGTCGTCGGACGAGTCGGACTGGTCGGAGGCGCCGCCGCGGCCGCCGCCGTGCCCGCGCCTGCGCGAGGCGGTGCGCCGCGGCCGCGGCGGCATCAAACGCTTCATCGAGCACTCGTACTGCCAGAAAGGTATCCTGCTGGCCATCATGATCAACACGCTGAGCATGGGTGTCGAGTTTCACAACCAGCCCGAATGGCTGACGTCCGTCGTCGAGATCAGCAACATCATTTTCTCGGCTATCTTCGCTCTGGAGATGCTGCTCAAGCTGATCGCCGTCGGCTTCTACGGGTACATCAGCAACGGCTTCAACGTTTTCGATGGCCTCATCGTCATCATCAGGTGAATTCCGCAACATGACATGCGATCGCTGGTGCCTGCTGTCGACAAATAATTTCGGTCCGGAGACAGGTTTGACTTTCGTGCCGCGTCGCCATTCTACATACCAATAGATAGCGTGTTACTGTGAAACTGCCTGTGATGTACGCGGGAGGTGCACGCGCTGGAAGTCAGAGGTGCGGGGTTTGTTTCCTGCCGTCTCTGCCCTTCCCACCTGTGATGAACGCAGGAGGTGCACGCGCGGGAAGTCAGAGGTGCGGGGTTTGTTTCCCGCCGTCTCCGCCCTTCCTACCTGTGATGTACGCAGGAGGTGCACGCGTGGGAAGTCAGAAGTACGGGGTTTGTTTCCCGCCGTCTCCGGCCTTGCTGCCAGGGCTAAAGAGAGGCGATGTAATACCGCCTTCGTAGCTGAGTGCGGAGTAAAGCTCCAACAACAACAGAGATATGGTCTATGAGATACGCACAATGTTTAAAGGTCAGATGTGCCAATCGTCGGTGAAATTTCTTTGTTCATGTGTACAACTTGCAACCATATCGGTAACAAAGATCATTCCCGCCTGGACTTTCACGTTCTTCCTTCCCTGTGTGACCTCCCCGGGCTGTAATGCTTGGTGGCTCCTCTACTGTGTGAGACAAAAGTCAATATGACAATCTACACTGGTCAGCCTAACACTCCTCGGGCCAAATGAGTGGGTAATGGTAGGTTAAGTGACAAGTGACATCAGGTGACAAGTGACAAGTGATATTGACTGACTTCGAACAAGTGAACGAACGACGACTGTCATGGCAGAGAGTTAGACGTGAGAGCGCTGCTGGGGAGAATGGCCGAGTGACTGTCTGAATGGGTGTTTGAGTTAACACGCACCCGAGTGGCCGGTTAGATGCCCTCCCCTCGGGTGGGGGTCAATATGACCCACCTGATATCTCAGAAACTAAGAAAGCTAGAGATACCAAATTGACCAGGTATGCTGACCTGCGCATAAACTCACTTAGATCAGAGTTTGACATTCCTTAGTCATGACCTTCGGGTCAAATAATGTCAAACAAGGTCAAATTTTAGGCTGGTTGCAAAAGAGCCTCGAGAACTTAGATAACTGTTCTAAGCAAAATTTCACATGCTCGTTGAGTTTTACGTTTGGAAAAGCGACAAAAATTACGCTAGGCAGTATGTTCCTGAAAGCAGAATGCTGACCGTGGTCATTGTAGGTCAGTGACCTTTCCTGACCTTTAAGAAGTCTATGGAAGGTGCATGATGCGGTTTCTGTCATCAATAAATTCGAAATGAGCACCAGGAACTACCCCATGCAGCAATTGCTAGAGTAATTACGCGGGATAGTTTTGACCTTGGTCTGGCAGTAATACCTGACCTTAGTTTCATATAGTTTGCTCATGCAATTGTTGTGTTGCCTAAGGAAGTATGTCAGAGACATATGGCTTTGTCAAACACTCCGCTGTTGGATCAGATTGAACGATTCTCTACATTTTGCCTTTGCTGAATATATGGCCTGAGTTTCGCCTACCATAGGTCAGCGACCCTACAAGAAACACCTAAATTGTTGATGCCAGACGATCCGCTATCCAACTGTCTACAGCCATGCAACATTTAGCGCAGTTAAGCCGCGCCGTTCGGCAACCATTTAAGAAAAGCCTTCGGGTGGGGCAATTTGACCCCCACCCGAGCGCGTGTTGATGAATGTCCTGAATGGATGTCTGGGTCACTTTCAGCGTCTGAGTTAGTGTGACTGTCCGAGTGGGTGTCTGAGTCAGCGTAAATAAGTGAACGCCTGAGCCCGTGGGTGTCTGAGTGAGTGGGGGCTTGAATCAGTGGGTGCATGATTTAGTGTGCTCATGATCAGCAGGCTTAATGACTGAGTGCTGGACGAGTGAGTAGCAAGCTTGGTAAGTAACTAAGATCAGCTGCAGCCCACCGTACCACCACGATTGGTTCAGTCGTGTGGCAAAGTGGCTTCCGCACAACTGTGGCGCGATCACATTCTGGCAACTACGGTTATACCGTAGTTATCTGGTGGGCTTCGGATGATGCCTAGTCTGTCATCTTTCGTGTAGGAATTTTTACTTCCCGTCCTCACTGCGGGGTCCGCCCACCGTGGTGCGGACACGGCTAAATAACACCCCGTGCCATTAAGGACTACGCTTTCAGATACCGTACCTGTGCATGCGTCGCAAAGGTCGCACCTTAGCATTGTGCGATGCTTTGCGACATTGTCGGAATGCTGTCACTCATTTTCGAAAATGTTGCGAAATGTTGCACGATGTTGCACGATGGGACATGCTCGTCTCAGTACAACGCTACAGTCGCGGCAGCCGGGGCACAGCCCTGTCTGTGCACAGTCGCGCACTTCAACGCTACAGTCGCGGCAGCCGGGGGACAGCCCTGTCTGTGCACAGTCGCACAACCCTGTGGCCGAGGCTCGGCACAGTTACAGTTGTGTGCAGCTGTGCACGGCTACAAATTGTCTCAGTCAGTGTTTGAATACCTATGCCGTTGCAGCGCCATGGACCTGTACAAGTCGCAGTTTAGCGAGACGGGCGAGGGCGGCTCGAGCCTCTCGGTCCTGCGCACGTTCCGCCTGCTGCGAATTCTGAAGCTGGTCCGCTTTCTGCCGAACTTGCGACGGCAGCTTCTCGTCATGCTCAAGACCATGGACAACGTCGCCATCTTCTTCTCCCTCCTCATCCTGTTTATCTTCATCTTCAGGTATGTGGCATGGCCTCCAACGGCTGGCAGCGCGATGCGGTGTTTATTTACGTCTTCTGATGAAAATCAATGCGATTATTACGCTATGGTGTGTGGTCCCGAAAAGTTCCTCTTCGGGCTGTTGCGGCAATACTTCTTGTTTGTTGCTTGATATCACTTATGTCAGAATTACCCTATTCAGAGGATTGCTCATTAGCCAATGGCCGGAAAAGGAGCAAAATGTACTGGGGCTTATAGTTCTGAATGTAACTGAAATGTGCATTGATCAAATGTGCGAATCCTGTTTGCCTACAATTTGTTGCAAGGTATCCTTAAGCTCGTGGATGTGATTCAGGACTGTAACACGCAAGCTGCGATTCAGTGTACCTGGGCCGGCAACGATGCTTCCTGAACTTACTTGGAACCCACCGATTAAGGACACGATTCTACTTCATGCGTAATTTGCGATGTGATAGTTTGGCAAAATATTGGATTTGTACACAGATGTTCTCGGAAACCAGTCTGAATAATTGCAGGGCCATAGGACGTTGTAATCACATTTTTTATTGATAGGCACACAACCTTTCCTCAATCGTTTTGTCAAATAGAACAGAGGGGATCCATGGCCCATGATTAAGCAGCTGCTACTTCAAGACGTACTATACGCTTGGCATTGGCATACTGATGGGAAATTGCTCACATCATTTCTTAACCGATATTCAATGGCTTCGTGCCGGCATGTTGCGTGCACCGGCTCGATGTAACACATCATCGCCTTGATTGCATCGATTATTTTATTACAAATATCTAGCCTAGGTTAACGTATCTTGCCCATAACTTTCCAGGGGTGACATGGTCTTTTTTACCCCACTTCAGCGTTCACCTGACAGCTCCATGGGTCTGCTACTTGTCCGTTTAACCACGCATGAGAGTCAACCCTCACAGCTTCGCCCCTAACGGTTATCTGGTCCAGCTCGGACCGTCGCTGGCTCTCACTGCTTTTGCGAGCAGCCGTCTCGGTTCAGCCGTGTACCAACTCGCGCCCTCCGTCGTTTTCGCCTGCAACACACTACTGCGCCGCCGGACCGCTCGGCCGACGCCTGCCGCTCACCACCTCCGGGGCCAGGGGCGACCTCCCGAGAGCCTCCCCTCTGGCATGTGGTCTGCCTCGGTGTCGTGCCTTCAGTGGCGTCCGGTGGCGCGCGAGCGTCGCCTGCCGTGGTGCTCCGTGTCTGTCACTGTCCATGTCCTCCGTGGCTCGACTGCTTGAGCGTTTGACAGACTGTCGCACTCGTCGCGTGCAGTCGGGAAGACGTCGAGATGGCGGGCGTGTTGGGTCGAGGTACGCGAACGCAAAGCGCCAGAGAAAACGTTGGTCCTTGCAAGACCACGTGCGTGGCGCACACTTGGTGACACGTGTGCCTCCATATCAGTTGGGTCGGAATGGCATCTGCTATGATCGCTAGCGTCCCTTCTGCTTTAAAGTTGTTGTACAAGAAACGATTGTGTCTTTTGGCTGATTCTCAATTAGAAAAGTCTAATGCATCTAGAAGTGTCAAGAGAATGAGGGGCTGTCATCACATGCACGTATATATGACGAAGAGCTTGTTCTCTCAAAACCGATGACCCACATTGGCGATGTATGCGAATATGCGCCTCTCGTAGTCATTACAATAGGACAGAAACACTATGCAGTATGAATGGAGAACACTTACGAATTTTTGACGAGCTTTTCTTTTTACGAAATGCATGTTACATTAGCGAAAAAAGCTATCTTATCGTCCAACTGTCCAAAGACATAGAGTCACTATCAAGCTCGGTCTTAGTGATCGCTGGTGATGGAATCAGACACCTCCATTCCGTCATTTGTTATGTTATCGTACCGATGCAATTTTTGAAGCGCTAGTTTATCATTCTTTTTGAAAATGGGTGAGGTGAGCTGCTAGACTGTGTCATCTGCGATGTCGCTGTGTGTGCGTGCTTATTCAATCCGGCTCTCTAATCCGGTGACATGTTGATTGCCATGCGATGGTGATCAGCCATGTCAAAAGCATTCAGTTCTGTTCCACAACCATCTACCCGTGTATATAATCATTCGCAGCACATGAGCTTGGGTCGACTAACGTGTGTTTTTTGCGGCTTGAGCTCTGCGTTAGCGTGTCCAACGACGCGTCCAATCGCGACATTTTTTCTCTCCTCTGTTTCAGTATATTGGGGATGAACCTGTTTGGGTGTAGGTTCTGTAGGAAGGACGCCGCCGGACAAGTGACGTGTGATCGTAAAAACTTCGACTCCCTCCTGTGGGCCTGCATCACAGTCTTCCAGGTACCTGCCGTACCACAGTCATACACTGGCGCACTTTCCACGTTCGGGCGGGTCCGTTATAATCCCCGTGATATCCTCCATAGCGGAGGGAAGCTTGTGACATTTTATAATCTCATCTTTGGTTGTGAGGATGGCCGGTGGCCTGCCCGGCCGTGGAAAGTGCTGTTGCTATCGGAATGTTTGGCACACGCATAGCTCCCGTTGTGCGTGCGGCCGCTGAAGCAGGTCTACCACCACCTGGCGTAGGACGGAAGGACGGTCCCGTGGCCGCTCACCTGACGTGCATGTGGGGAAATCGACCAGAGGGGGGGGGGGGGGGGGGAGAGGTAGAGAGACGCCCGATGTGGATCTGCATAGGTGAGTATCGTCTGCGTAGTCTCGCTTGTTTGCCCAGCATGTTTCTCCATAGATGTCTGCATGATCTGTTCTGGGATGTCGCACGCTCCCAGCTGAAGTGAATCCTGTAAAGGATCATGTCACCCTGGATGCTGGGGTAACCGAGATAAGCTCTAACCTGACTTAAATAATTGCCGCTGGTAGCAGCTAGGTATGATCAGTAAAGTGAAATGGAACGACCGTAAATGCATTCAACACTAATGGCGTGCGAATAACCAAGAGTAGCGGAGCATTTTTGTTTCCTCAAACACCCCAACACGAAAGTGTGTTTCGCGCCAAACAGAACGGCAGTCAATTTCGGACGCTTATTTGGACGGGTCTTCCTTCTAACGTTGTTCCGAGCTTCACTGCATGCGTCTGGGACGACTATTCACGCACACACGGACCATTTGGAAAATGAGCCCGCCCTGCAGCGGGAGCTGAGCAAAACTTCCAGGCCGAGCTTTCTTTCAACCACGTAGAATGGCTGCCAGGGCCACCAGCTGCAGCACAGCTGAAGAAAATAAGGAGATCGTGAAAGGCATCATTTCGTTCAGCTGAGTGAGACGTAACACGCGATACTCCTATTGCCGAGCTGAGAAAACGGCCCTTTGCGGTCTGTATGAAGCGCAATGTCTCGTAAAAGAAGGGGACAATCTGATGGGTAAGCTGCGTTCTTTCAATCATCGGAGTGGGAACAAATAAAGCGACAGAACGAAGGGGCAACATGAGCATGGCCCCGGAACAAACTGTAATCGAGCTGTAGACCAGTACCTGCCAGATAACGAGACTGCACAGTCTGAGGAGAGTCAGAGCTCCTTAGAGCAGGTATATGAACAGCTCACCATAACATCAGTGTTCAGTTTGTTGTCTGAAATGATCAACCGGGCTGCATTTCTAGTCATGTATTGCTGACTCATGATGACTGTACCAAGACTTTCTCGAGGAAAGTCGAGCCGCTCGTTGCCGGCTGTCACGTCAAAAGCGACATGCCTCCGCGATTGGCATGTGATTGACTCCACGATTGGCATGTGAAACAAGGAATAGGACATTCAGACGCGAGTTGCGGAAAACAGGAGAGGTTTAAGGGGAGGGCTTCACACCCGTATGAAGTTTTGAACCGAAATAGCTATATTGAAGATCATTCGGTGCAGTTGACAGCCCTATCTTTCTTGAAACCCTAACCCCTCTAGTTTCTGATCGACACGCCCACGAAGCTATGCAAAATTTTTCGTGCAAATTGTTTCAAGGTCACCTGGGTATCAACGACGCCATAATAAAGTCATTCAAATCCTGCCATTTCGTTTGGCGATGCCATAGTCCAGAACAGCACAGCATAATTGTCGAATCGTTCACATCTGGCGTTCGTGAATGCGACTTCCGACTATGACGGCCCTTAATTGGCTTTCAATCAATGTTGTGCGACGTAAGATTTTGCAATCAAACAATGACACATTAAGGCACATATTTACTGAATAGAGAGCTTTTTTGTCAGGAACAATATTTTTAACCTGAAAATATATCATCAGATTTAAGTGAGCTCGTTTTATCATATCTGATACCTGCCTCAATATCTTCTAATGTGGAGCATTCCCTTAGATGCACCACCAAGCGCTCGTTGAAACGCTAAAAAGTATGAAAGAGAACAGAGGCGCAGGTACGGCTGCCACGGCTTCGTCGTCGGCACTGGTCCAGCTTAAGCTACCCCTCCCGTCTCTCGGTGTTGACACGAACATTGACTTCAACCTGTGTTGACAATGACTTCAACCAAAATCCGTTGCACACGTTAAGGACCACCATAGGGCACAGGCGGCCAGCACAGTTCAGACCCGCGCGCCGCTGTAAAGAGCAGGGCAGCGTACCGCTGTCTCTGCGCGGTATGACCAGCGGCACCAGGAGTGGACCCTCGCCCCCTCTCCGTGACTAACGTCGTCACCACCGGATGTCGTCACAGGCTACGTCCCAGGAGAGCACCCCGCCCCGCTCTGAGCCAGGTCTCGGGGCGCGATGAGAGACGGGCGGCTCGGCGATAGTTACCGCTCTGGCGTCATTGGAAACTATGGCACCTGGGATTGAGTTCGGCGCGATCCCGCGGCCCGATAACGGTATCTGTATTGATCTTGGCGAAGTCTGTGCAGAGCAAAAGTGGAAGCATTCTGAAAATGGTCTAAACGTAAGCGTCCTCATCAGTGAGAGGAGTGGAGCAATATTGGGTCATTTATTAGCCAGGTTGGCCTTCATACAGCTACAAGATATCCTTGGTGAATTCAAGCGAACAAAATTCAACCACGCACTCTTTTACTTCAAGTTGTTTTAGACATCACCAAGTGTTGCATTTTCTGTTCGAGTATAAGCCCCCCCCCCCCCCTCCCCCTTTAGTAAACCATGCCCACCAAAGCTAAAACCTCAATCACGAAGATTATTTACGAGGTGATGTAAAAAATACGCTGGTTGAAATCATCCGCAGTATGCTGATATTTACGAAAAATTTTGCATAACAAATTTTAGAGACCGAGGTATTCTAAAGATAGCAGGGACATTGTCTACCACATTTTTACTTCACAGCAACAAACATGTTATTTGTAAAACATGCACACTCAGAACTATTAAACAATAGCATTGAAACCCGTCGCAGACCCGTCTTTCGTTAGCCGACTTGAGTGATCCTGGAACATCATGCAGATCAGCGCGACGCCCGATCGTGGCTTAGATGAAAATATGGCAGATTTCGAGCTGCGGTGGCGCCAGGCGGAAAACAGGATTATTTGAGGTACTTGGCTTGACGAAACGGGACAGGCTCAGCCGGGATCCACATAGGCTCAATACCAGCGACAAAAATGCCCGCACCGAGCACTCCCTCGCAGAAATGGTGAACTTATCGGTCAGATTATAATTTTTATCATTTTTCGCTGACCAAGGCCACACGCAGCAAGTGCTGAGTAGCAAACAGTCAACATTGCAAATTATGGAGAATTTATGCCACCAATTTCGTTAGCATAACCTTAAGCGAATGCAATTACTTACTCCAAAACAATTTCCAAAACTGCAACATGTTTTGTTTTAATTTTACATAATTGTCTATCAGTTTGACCAGCTTTAATCGAAGTTCAAACACGTACCTAAACCTATGCAAGCTACACCTCTTTATCGGCTGATCTTCTGGTAACACCTCCCCAACCACATGGCGCGTTTGATAGCGAAAACGCACTCCTGAAGCCACCGTCCTGCTCCTGAAGTTCTCCTGAAGCCGAAGTTGGCTCTCCACACAGCCACTTCGAACACCATCCGGTGGTAAATCCCCAGCACCGGCTCCGTCAAGGTCCTCTTGTCACGCCCTGACTCAGGCTCAGCCTGTTCAGCCTGGCTCAAGCTGACGCTGCCTGCCAGGCGTAACGCCGGCCGCGCCGGTGTGTCTCTTGCAGCGTCCTCGGTATGATCCTGTTCGGCGGCAAGTTTTGCATGCGCCGTGACGGCTCGGGCGCATGCCTCTGCGGCCGTCTGGCTGATCACGACCCGCTCTGCGCCTGCCAGCGGAAGAACTTCGACAACTTCCTCTGGGCCACGGTCACGGTGTTCCAGGTAAAGGCTACCGCGGCCGCGGTCAGCGGCGGGGTTGTCATGGCGACGGAATTGACGCGCGCTCTGGCTGCGTCCTAATCACCACGCACAATTTCTTTCCAGTGCGGTTTTTTCGGTGGGCGTGGTGGATAGAGAAGGTACAGACAACGGCCAGCAGGGATGACTGCACTGACGCCGTCTTTGCGTTGGACTTATGTCGTGAGCTAGGTAGTTCAAAGTGAGATCGTACGTTCCTTCTGTTTCTGGATGGTCGAAAGATGCGGCTCAAAACTACTTCCATTCTGACGAAACCTCAGTTAGCATTTGCAGTTTGCCTCATACACTGCTGCAAGGCATCGGCACTGTAGCCCATTTGCGGCCGTCTCCAGAGTCAAAGGTCAGGCAGCTTGGTCACCTTACGTGGTGGCCTGGGCACTCTTTTGACGAGGCAGAGGATTAGCAACTCGAAATTTGGCATCTACCTTTCGATGAGGACGGAAGCGCGCGCAAGCGGATGTGTAACAGCGAGCAGCAGGGTGACGCCAGATCGATGCACCGCTAGCAGTAACTAAAGACAGAAGACGACGTAACACCAGCTCCCGCTACTGCTCAGACTAACGACAGGGTGGCCTTCCTCGTGTAGCTTCTACAGCCGCCTCAGCTTCACCCATGGCCAAAGCGGCTCTGCGGTCTTTCCGCGTGCAACAATAACGGAGATTAGCGAGCTTTCGACGACTGAAAGCCGGGGCGAGGTGAACCGTGCGGCTTTGCTGTGGCGTGGTCCAACTCTGAACTTTCCCCTTAATACCATTGTCCCGTACGTCAATACTTTACCGGATCATAGCCTGAGTGATGCACGAAAGAAAATGAACACAAAGGCATTACTGGATGTGTGTCCAGAGACTGAAACATCGGTGCAAAGCTTTTTAGAGTAAGTTGGCTGCGATTACGTATTCATATATATATATATATATATATATATATATATATATATATATATATATGCATGTATATAACATATAACTGTGGTCGCTTCAAAAGACGCCAAGAGCAACATCATGGCGATCAATGACGACATAAAATGCCGGTTGGAACATGACGGAGTTTGACGACCGTTTTTCAGGGACGCGTAATCGCAACGTTGAATATGAATTGGTCGAGTGATATAAGTATCATATGCTCATTCAAAGGAACAAAATAACTTCCAGCGCCTCGTGTGCATGATCAGTTACTTATTCAGTCCGCCCAATTACCGGCACTATGCGGCTGCCGCTGTGCTGAATTGCATGAATAGTAGGACACCTGTTAGCACCTCCTTCCCAAATGGCAACAGCGTCGATGTGGCATGGTTTAATTATCCAATGATTATCTACGATCTGCACGTCAGGCATGCTAATATAATGTGACAGCATGGACAATCTGCCTCGGCGTCAGGGACAAAAAGGAGTTACAAGAATAACATCGTAGCCACGTGACCGTATATTGCCGTATGGTAGTATCAAACCATGCGAGGAAACTCTTGGAAAGCGTGACACACCAAAGGGAACCATGCCGCGAAACATGTTTTACCGTTGCCACCACGCCCAGCACATGCGCCTAAACCAACTCGCAGAGGCTATTGGTAAAATCTAACTTAAGCCGTACTTTGGTCCACGGGACGCAAAATTGGCCTCGGCTCTGGAAATGATCCGAAATGTCAGGAACGCGTCATCATCGCCGCCTTTCCTTCGCCTGCTCCGTGAGTTTATGAACACGATGCACAGCTGGCAAATGGAGGAAGTGGCGTATGCTGCGGGTGGTCGGCGAGGCTTCTAGGCTAATCTCGCCAGCACTGTTATGAACGTCATTGCATGTGAAAGCATGTGTCATATCATTGGAGCTTTACGACGCATTCAGCTGCTGAGGCTATATGGCGTCGCCTGCCTCTGACCCTGGCAGGAAGGGCGGGCACCGCAGGGAGTCGAACCCCATACCTCTGGTTTCCCAGACGCACATTGGTTAACGCAGATGCATTAACCACTACGCTACCGGCACCCCTATGTGAATGCACGATGCATGTGCCTAGCTGAAGTCGAACAGATGCACCCGTCAAACCTGTCAGAGTTTTCTGAGTCTTGTTGCGCGGTACTATAGGCGTTGAAACGGACATACCCGTACCTGCCACGAGCACGCGAACGTGTGTGCATTGATGGGCCGCCAGGCGCCGAATACCCCATACCTTTGAGAGAGGATTTACTCTTACCACCGATGATTTAGAATTTCATCTAGGCTTGGGGAAAATGCGTGGAAGTAGATCACCTGAGATCACTGTGTGTGTCACTCAAAACGTTTCAGAAAGCTGCATCTCTCTGCATGCAAGGTTACTCGTATACTGGTGTGTGATAAAGCGCAGCCTCCAATTTGCTCAATGATGCCTTACTTCACAAATCTGCGTAGCACGTCAGCCTTACATGGTAATTCGATTGAAGCTCTAGTACATTTTGCGGCAAAGTCTTCAGTTACATCGTGTCAATAGCATCCGAATGGAACCAGGCTGTTTACAGAATCACAGCTTCTGAAGAGGCTTGTCAAACCTAGACGACTTCATCATGCCGGTATCCAATCCTCTCGCAATGCTCTGTTTTAGGGCGCGTTGTCAGCCTCTAGGTACGAGCCGATCTGTCGTTTTATCGCGTGTTGGTCGCCGGCGCGGCTCACCGAGTGGCCGGCATCACTTCCATCCCACTGGTGTCACGACGATCGCTGTCATGCTCGGGTGACCTCGGCCCGGGTGGAATTAAGGAAAAGTTCAGCTCGCAACTCAGCATGCTGCCGCGGTCGAAGCGCTCCGGGGAAGCCTTCGAAGTGTGACGCCGGGGCGGTCAATGACATTGAAACTCGAGCCCTCCAGATCGGGGCATGCAGCTGGCGTGCCCAGCGCTCAGCCACGCGCGGCGGCCTAGGCGGCGGTGCGGGGCAGCATGCCAACGCAGGCGTACGTACATGTAACCACGACATACCAGTCTGCGTGCGTAGTGCGGTGCGTGCTGGCATACCAGTCTAGGCGTTGGTTGGCGCAAAGAGCGAACTGACACAGCGGTTCCTCGGATGTTAGGTGGGATAGCATACTTACACAAACGTCTGACAGGAAACGGACCGCCAGAACAGCCGGTAGTGTAGTTGTAGTGGCGAACGCGTCTGCGTCAGCCACTGCACGTCTGGGAAACCAGATGTACGGGGCTCGATTTCCCGCGGTGCTCGCCCTTCCTGCAACGGTGAGAGGCAGGCGACGCCATATAGCCTCAGCAGCTGAGTGCGTCGTAAAGCCCCAATGACATGACATGACACAATGGGACACAGATCACCGGAAACCTCGCACGCGTCGTGTAGACCAGACGGCATGAAATGGGCGGTCGGTACACGGAGTGCATTTCAAAAGATGACGTTACATAAGATGTACTTCCGAACGCTCGAAGCTAGCATTGGACTACTGGTAAAACTTAGCAAGCAATGTTTACTGACGCCGCCGCCATACAGCCTCAACGTATACATCACCCACCACCCTGAGCCCTCACAGAAGATAGTTGGCAGCAGTTCAGATCCACAGGGCACAGTTCTCACTCACCTGTAGGGCTCACGTATTGCGGGCATGATTTTGTATCACTGTAGATCAAGTTTGATCTACCCCATTGCGATAAAGCCGCCTTCCTTGTTTGTACGCGCCAAACTCCGACGATGCATATATGCTTGACCTTGACCTTTGTCCGCTTTACCACATCTGCCCAAGTTTCATGCACGACGTGCCGAGAGGTTTCCAACTTTCATGCCACGTCACACGGTCTCGGTAACGCAGTTGATACCTCGCCACGTCTATAAGTAGATGGTCAGAACTTTGCACCCCGGTCATCCCAAAGCTTTTCTTCCTGACTGGAATGGAATATTGTGTGATGCGGCGTCCAATTCCTTGTTATCTCCCTGTACAAGTTATGGACATGTCACCCATCTATGTTTACAATACGTGAACATCACATTTCCTCTATGCCAACGCGGCTGTAGCCGACATCCACATAGAAACAGCTTGAACTCGTCTGTTGTTGCCTGTTACGGCGCGCATCTGTGATGACCCCGCGGTGCATGTTTGCGTGTAGATCATAGAAGCATCAGTGTTGCACCGCGTGAAAGGAAAATGCAGCGACATGCCGAGTGTAGCAAAGGCAAACTTCTGAACAGTAAGTGGGTGTTTATTTTACATGTGGGGCCACCCTCAGTTTCGGTTTATTCCCATGCATAATGCCCTCAGTCGGGCGTTAGTACAACGCCACTGTCAGGACGTCGTCCCCCCGACAGTCCATCATCGCCTGTGTCGTGCGCTGCTCAGTGTTCGCACCCCACTGTTGTGCTCCGGGATTTGTCGCGGCGCTACATTGCTCTGGCGAAGCTACCACGGCGCCCCAGAGCTGCAGGCATGCTGGCCCGTCATGCGGCTCCTCACGCCGCCAGGTTCTAATGCGGCGCTGTGTGACTGCTGTTCGTGACCTCTGTGACCTCTGCTCCCGTGTGACCTCTGCGTGCGCTGCGAGTTTTGGACTCAGCGGTATCCCGCCCAGCTCTAACACGCCGCGCCCTCCTGTCAGATACTGACGCAGGAGGATTGGAATGTGGTGCTGTTCAATGGTATGGAGCGCACGAGTCCGTGGGCAGCACTCTACTTTGTGGCTCTCATGACCTTCGGCAACTACGTCCTCTTCAACCTGCTGGTGGCCATCTTGGTGGAAGGGTTCTCATCAGAGGTAAGCACAGTTCTCCTGAACGCGTCAGGTTTTCACGCTCACGGTTATGTCTGCGTTTGACAGATTTTCCTCAGGGCGCCCAGTTTCCACACGCTTTTCACTGCTACCTAGCGCTGTTTTTCACCGCTCGCCAGCATGGGACACGCGCATTGCTGTCTGCTTTAAACTTAACTGAGCAGTTACGGGCCCACTTATCCAGGCTGAGTTGAATGCGCTCATGGTCGGAATTTTTTAAAGCATATACAAGGGTTGGGCACCACTCTTACAAACCTCAGGCGCTGCTGATAATGTTAGTTAGCCATCTGTCATCTGTTCCGTAACTTTTCCATTCTTTTCCGGAGGCTTAGATGAACTCGCAATTTCGACCCTGTTATTCTTCCGTTGCTTTAACTGTTGTAAAGCTCCGAGGTCCTTCTCGTCTTCTCTGTTCTTTACCACACACTAAATGTCACCAAGGTAGAATTTTGGCGGCTTGTTTGATAACATAATATCAATTGTCATCCAGAAAGCACTGTTTTCCGTGCTGCGGCAAACGCCTGCCTGCTTAAAGGCTGGTGAGACGAGAAGTGTGAGTGCTTCAATCTGTCTCTGCCTGCTTGTTGGCTGCGTGCTTGCTATTCGGCTCATTTGAATTTGGCAAAAATTAGAAACGGGTAAATTTTATTGTCGCGTCGCTTATATGTTCCGTCGCATCCAGAGCTGTATCTACATAACTGTGATTTTCTGACCATGAACGCGGCCATCATCAGCAGTGTGCTATGTGCTTTTATGGCTTCTTTTCACGGCTTTCTTCATCACCGCAGCGTCTTCTACTGCCACATTGCACTGTCACTTCTTGGCCTCATCTTCTCATTGTGCACTGTAACATAGCGGCGCCTTCGTTCGCTTGATCGTTGTTACGCGCTAGGTGTGACATAACAGCCGTGCGTTCAGCGTGTAGCAGCGTTAAGTCCTGGGCGGCGGCGGCCTCCGCGGCCGGCTCGCGTGACGGCCCCGCCGCGGGCGCCGCGCCCGGCCCCGCCGCGGGCGCAGTGCCCGGCCCCGCCGCGAGCGCCGCGCCCGGCCCCGCCGCCGGCTCACGTGACGGCCCCGTCGCGGGCGCCGCGCCCGGTCCCGCGGCCGGCTCACGTGATGGCTCCGCCGCGGGCGCCGCGCCCGGCCCCGCCGCGGGCTCACGTGACGGCCCGGCCGCGGGCGCCGCGCCCGGCCCCGCCGCGGGCGCCGCGCCCGGCCCCGCCGCGGGCGCCGCGCCCGGTCCCGCGGCCGGCTCGCGCGGCAGACAACGGTAGCCTCCCTGTCATTCGGCTGTAGGCCGCAAACCCAGCCTCAGCAACCAGGCATCGCCGCTGGCCAGCCGCCCAGGGCTGATCCAGAATCCGACAAAAGGCTTTGAAAGCTTACGGCCAACGGTGGGATGAGAATTGTCCTCCACCGGCGGAATGTCGCTGGTGGTGCCCTTACGGGAGGCTGCCTTGACTCGCGCTGCCGAGCCGGCCGCGGGCGCCCGGCCGCCGCCGCCACGGGGTGCGACGTTTCCGCCGCGAGGCGCGCCAGTGAACGTCGCTCCCCCCTCAAGCGGCACGAGCGTGCTGAGCGCCAGGAGCGGGAACGGCTGCGGGCGCTGCGACGCCAGGCGCGCGCCGCCGGCGGGCCGGCGTCCGACGGCGCGCCCAGCCCGCCCGAGCTCGAGTCGCCGCCGGCGCCGTCGCGGACCGCACAGGTGACGTCACGCCCACGCCAGCTGGCGCCACGCCGGGCATGACGCCGCGCCAGCATGGGCGGGCGCCGGCGGAGACGGCATGAGCTGAGCGGCGCGCCGGCCGCCGCGGGCGACACGCACGAGCCCAAGGTCGGCGGAGGCCGGGAGGAGGACTGAACCCACCTCCGGACTAGTTGTGTGTCTGTCTGTGTTTTGGTGTATCCTGAATGGGTGTCGGCAGCGGGCGGCGTGATCAAATTGCGACACACCGCTCTTGCGTGCTCTGCTGTTGCTCGTTCTTTCGCAGACTATCGTCGAGCGACGGTTGCACACCATTTCAGGGAGTGTGGGGTTGGTAGCATTTCTGGGCTTGTGCTAGAACGGGGCGTTAGTGTCTGTGATGCTGTGAATGTCTGAACACCTTGATGCCAATTTAAGGTACCCCTCCGCCATTCATTTTTCCTGGAAGACAACAACAATGAGGACTGTCATGAATGAGGACTGTCGTACTGACATAATTCCGATTCCTCTTGAATCTGAATGCACCTCTCACCCTTTGGTGTGTAGTCTGCAAGATGTAGCGGCGTTGGGGCGAGCTTTGGATCCCATAACTGGTGGAGGTCGCTCACAAGGGCCAAGGACGCCCGTTCTACTCTGGCGCTTTGCACCGCACTTTTTACATGCGTTGAGTGATGGGCACACCTTGAACCCTGCAGTGTCTCAATTAACGGTGGAGGAAAGGGAGAGGGAGGTAATAGCCACCATACATCCTCTTTTTGTGCTGAACGAAGGCCATTGGGCATGTAAAGAGCTGTAGAGTTCAGAAGTTGTCTGTGGCGTGTTTCTCGCCGAGAGCTCGGTAACTTGTGACATACACAACTCCGACGAGAAGTGGTGTAGTAGCTTGTCAGCATGTCAGTCTGTCAACCTCAGCCTGTTCAGCCTCCGGGGCAGGAAGTTTGTGGCCTTGAAACGACAAACAGGGGAAACTGTTGTCAATGCTAGCAAGCCAAACACTACAGTTACATTAAAAACAAAACTTACTCTCTTCCTTAGGGACTGCCCACAAGATCGGCACAATATGGTCAAGATACAGCTTGTGCACGACGATCGAACAGCTTGGCTTCAGTTTGGCCTTAGTTTGACCTGAGCTCGGCTCATTGTAGCTTCCTTGTCATTTGAGAACACTCGATATTCATATCATGAATTTAGAAAAATTCTGCCGATCTACTCAGAGTCTCTCGCTCATCTTTCATCACCATTTCATTCCGTTTAATTCAAGAAAATTTTAAGTTAACCTTTACGCCGATTCCCGTTTTTCATAACGCGAACGGACAGGAAGGGGGAGGGGTGGGTGAGCTCCACTACCATTTCTAAAATAAACGTGCTAGAGCCTCTCACGAAAACAATGGATTGGTGTCAGCAAGCCCTCGGGGCTGATGTTTACAGTTTTTGTGCTGTGAGGTCAAGAATTAAACCCATTAGGCCAAACCAAATGTATTTTTCTCCCGAAAATCTTTCCAGACGTGTATGCCGAAATATCCGAAAGCATGCAACGTAGCGATATGACACTTTCACAGGCGTGTTTCTTGCTTAATTTGAAGGACATCGGTGCGTAGCTAATGTGTGGTTTTGTGTCCTTTGAAAAAAATCGGAGACGTCGGATGCCGTTTGTGTAAGAGTGTCATGCCACCGTCTGTCATCCACGAAATCGCTGCTGCCACCTGCCGTTCGCGCCGTCCAGTATTCGTGACAAAACGTCTCCACTCAGAAACCAAAGAAGCCGTAAGATCGGTGTTTGGTGTCAAGATACGCGTAACGAGTTCCCCAGAGGCTTCTGAACATTTGGGCGTGATTGCACGGCTCACTGGAGTGAGGTGGCCAGAAAATGAGGGGTTGGAAAGGGTTGAACCATCCCTGATTTACGTCAACCATGAAACACGAGCACGTGTTTCAAATATCAAAACTTCCTTAAACTATTTTCTGCTTCTCGTGCCCTTGACACAGAATGTCTTGACACACATTACACTATAACAGTAGTGTTACTACGCCTACTACTACTACTACGGTATTACGCTGTGATTTTCGTCACCCGGGACCATGATAATTCAATTGTTCTTTTACACTTTGTTATCACTTCTTCCGTCTTCCGCCTCTGCTTCTGCTGGCTGTCCCAAACATGTCATACTTGTCCTCCAGCCTTCGCCTGGTGGCTATCGAGCCTGTCCACACCAGCCGTGCACCGCTCCCGGCGCTGGGCGTGGAGCCACGCGCCGCCTCACGTGCACGGCGCAATGACCTGAATGCGCCATTTGGATGTCGTCTCTCCTTCCCCGCCCAAATGTAAACCCAGTCCCCTGTAAACCCAGTAAACCCCGCCCACTGTCTGCGCGTTCCCTGTGGCTGAGGTCCGACCCTTGGAGCAGCTAGCGCCCGGGCATCAGAGTACCCCCTCCACCCCCTCCCCCACACAACCGTAGCGTTCAGCACAGCACCCCTTGTGCGCAGCAGCACCGCTCTGTGACTTCCGTGAGGAGCGTTTTGTAAGCTGACAAAGCGTAAATGTCGGCCTTTATGCAAAGTTCGCTCGGATCTCACAACATGTGTGTCAGCAAGTGACCAGTCTGACCGCGGTGCAGTCTCGTTACCGACCAGTCTGACCGCGGTGCAGTCTCGTTACCGACCAGTCTGACCGCAGTGCAGTCTCGTTACCGACCAGTCTGACCGCAGTGCAGTCTCGTTACCGACCAGCCTGCCCGCAGTGCAGTCTCGTTACCGACCAGTCTGACCGCGGTGCAGTCTCATGGCGGACCAGTCTGGCCGCGGCGCAGACTCGTCCCGGACCAGTCTGACCGGCCGGTGTCCACTGACCGCCGCGCGAGCCGCCGCCCCCAGCCTCCTCCGGGAGAGAGTGGGGCAGGCCGGCTGACGGCCCGCTCTGACGTCACAGGGCCGGCGGCGGCGGCGGAGCCATCTGAGCCACCTGAGCTCGGGCAGCGGGCCGGAGCGCGCCGCTGACCCGGAGCTGGGCTGCTCGCTGTCGCTCGAGTGTCGCGGCGACCGGCGCAGGATGGCAGGTGGGCTGCGACACTGGGGCCGGGCGGGGCTTCGCCCGGGCCTCGCCTCCATGTCCGTCGGCCGAGGCTGTTGCCAGATGGCCTGATCCCAGGTCGGCTGGTCGTTCCCTGGTCCCCTGATTACACCCGCATTGCTTATTTCAACACCATAGGTGGCTATTCAAGAGTCTTCTTATCAAGGGGTGCTCACCGACCTTCCCCTGACTACACCCAGCATCGCTGGTGGCCCCTTCCACCAGCCATGCATTGGCAACAGACGCGATCATTAGTGCTTTATCTGCCATCAACTTACATGATAATGCAGTTCTATTGCCGTGTCTGTCGTCATTCCATCATGTGCTGTAGCCTTCGTTATAATTTGTCCGACACCGTCCACACTTTGATCATTGACTATTAGCATCATGTCTACTATCATATATCACACAGTGATGCTAAACGCAATGATATCGAACTGAATAATGTTGAGCGCAATGGCGGTGGCATATTCCTCGCATCCACCATCGCTCAAATATCACAACCATGACCAGACGTGAGCTGCCTGTCGGCGCCGCCGGAGATCCTGATGCCGCCCATCATCACCCGGACGGCGGCTACGCCTCAGTCGTCGCCGCACGCTACGCTGGAGAGCCGCCACAGTCACCGACACGTGCAGCTGACACAGACGCCGACGCCGGCTCAGGTGGGGCCGGCTGGCGCGCGCCAGTCGCAGGCCCCCAGCCCGCGGCCGCCGGGGATGGGCAGCGCTACCCTCCCGAGTGTGCCTGGCCCCCAGAGCCTCATCAGAACGTCCTCAGAGCGTCCTCAGAGTGTTGTCAGAGCCTCCTCAGAGCGTTTTCAGAGTGTCCTCAGACTGTTCGTTGTTCCGACCCCGGCCTCTGTCTGGGTCTGACTGTTGGTCGGACCGTTGGGTCCGTTGTTCCGACCCCGGCCTCTGTCTAGGTCTGACTGTTGGTCGGACCGTTGGGTCCGTTGTTCCGACCCCGGCCTCTGTCTAGGTCTGACTGTTGGTCGGACCGTTGGGTCCGTTGTTCCGA